TCACGGAACCGGTGCGTCGCAGGTGGCGTTCCTAACGGTGACCGAGAAAACCCAGGTGGAGATTAGTCTGCACCAACGCTCGGGCAGGTAAGATACGTTCCGTAATCCATTGCGCCTAAATTGTCCTTTGGATTAAAAAGAACCCATTTCCAGTGGGCTGGGTTTAGGCTCGAATCGCACTTTTAAAGTATAGCTTGCCATAGTACCGCTATATGCAAGCATGTTCGAGACATAAAACTATTTTGGGTGCCATTTATGAATGAGTGAACCGTGGTCTTAAAAAATACCATCAGTTTGAACTGTGTTGCGTACATGTACTGCAAGTAGAGTATTGTACTGAAATGTGCTGCCTTGATCACAGACTATTGACAAAATTCAATTTGACTTTTGATAATTTGACTTATGATAAGTAATTAGTTATCCTGTGTTACAAGACATGTCCTTGTTCTACATGGTTGTTACCTGTTTGTAGGAGTTGCAAGCAGGACGGATCGCTGCAGTCGGACTTGCTGCTGCTGGTCGTGTCATGCGACTCCGAGGGACGCAACCTGCGCGATTGCACTGCACACTCTCAGCTGTTCCGGCAGAAGCGTGACTTTGTGCGCTGCGAGGCGATGCTCGAACCTGGCCACTACGTTGTGCTGCCCGTGTCGTTCCTGCACTGGATCTGGCATCGGCAGAGAAATGAATCGTCCGCGCTGGCACAAGGAGTGCCACCGGTGGCAGAGGAGGAAGACCGGAGGGGACTGTCGTATTGCATCACCGTGCATAGTTCTCGTGCGCTCAATGTGTGCTCAAAGCCACCGGATAGCTACATCCTTGCGGACGCTATGTGGATTGTAGCCAAAAGGCTCGGCACGCGTAACGTAAGTCAGCGTTGGCTGCACGACGTTGCCAGGCGTGTGAATTCCTACGAGCGTGCCGGTGTATGGTGTGTATGGTTCCACGCAAACATGCGCACGGCTAGGTATGCGGAACTTGGATATGTGCCAGGGTACACACATGCTTTGCCTTGCCGTACCATGACCAATGTAGCCGTAACACGGCGTGCATTTTGGTGAAGCGCTGTTACACAGTGCATAGCTTCGTCAACATGGCACGTCCACATATACATTGTACATGCTTTTCCTTGCTGTACCATGACCAGTGTAGCCATAATACGGCGTGCATTTTTGGTGAAGCGTTATTCCAGCGCTGCGGCATACGAGTAACTTTGTCAACATGGCATGTACACGTATACATTGTACACCCTTTCCGGTACGATTGGTGTTCCGTGCATTCTTGTACGCAATGCAGGTGGTTTGCGGAGGCACCGTGTTCACTACGCTAAGCAGGGTGAACGGCGGTGGAGTTCTGAAGGTGTTTGAGAACACGACCGAGTGGCCTATCCAGGTAGAGGTGGATGCATCTGACTCCAGGCTTCTGAGCACCCGGTCTTCCCTGCTTACTGCCGATATTGTGCCGCCGTTTTTCAGGTACGATTGATTTATTTGCTTGACTCTTGTCCTTCTGGTGCTTGTGCAAGCTTGCATTTGTCTGTGCGTGCATACAGCATTGTGTGTGTGTGTGTGTGTGTGTGTGTGTGTGCGTGTGTGCATGCGTGCGTGCGTGCGTGCGTGCGTGCGTGCGTGGGTGCGTGTGTGCGTGTATACAACATTGGGTGTGCATGTATACATGTACATGCTTGTTTGGCTCTCCATTGTAGTGATAAGCAAGAATTGGGAATGCGGTGAAACTGATTGGGGCCGGTCTTTTATTACCGCCTGTCTGAAATATGAGCCACATCATTTCAGGGATTTTGTCTGGATTTTGTCAAATTGCGTGACATTTTAGGCCTCCAAATAACTGAGCGCCTGGACCAGTATTATCGAATAGAGTGCGCATGTAATGTGTGTAATGTTGGTTGACGTTTATCTGCTTTCCTCGCTGTGCAGGCAAGTTGTAGCAGTGCTGACAAACTACGCGGAGACTCCGTCTTTCTACACGCCGCGGCTGCAGGCCAGACAGGTTTGGGGGGCGCAGCCCGTGCTAAACGGAGCGCGGGCCGGAAAGGTCGAGCCGAGCCTGCTGGGCCTTCACGCCGCCAGGCCCATTGGATGAGCTAGCCGTTGGCATGCGTGCAGACATCCGAGGCTTTGTCTGAACACCAGCCACAGTCTTGTGAGTTGAAACTTGAAACATGATCATATGCTGATTGCTACTTCGAAGTATGTGCTAGGAACATTTCACTATTCGGCCGGACTATACCATTTTATTGTTATTTAAGGGGATTCCCCAAAAGCAGAAGACTAAATCTAGGCGGGGTCTCCTAGGATAATTAGCGCTGTGATATACATAAAATATTATCATTGTGATGCGTGGATAAATCTGCAGCAAGCCATCTGTGTATAGCAGATGATGCCATTGTTGATTTCGTTGGCCGTGTATGTGTATTGCATGGCGACGACGCTGCGGTTCCAACTGTCACTGCCACTACTTATACCCTCTAGAAATGATTGTGTACTTCCAAAATAGAAAACTATACCTGTGTATCATCTGGAGCAGGACTTAGCAGATCATGTTTATGCTGCCATATCTAGGATTTTATTTACTGCTGCTCAGATCTATTATGATTTACGACAAATTTCAATTTCAATAGGCAAATGCTCACTCAAGTTGAAGTGCTTACTAGAATTATAAAAGTTATAATGATACAATTATGATATCCCCTTGCCCGAACTAAAAATGCTTCTCCTCCTCTGGTCATCTCAATGTCAGTATCACTATCAGGCCGGCAATTTGTCGACACTTCAAGTGTTATTTTTGTGAGAATCATGTACTGTAAAACACGTCAAGGCGACCACTCTGAAAAGGTGACCCGCCGGCCTCTGAAAAGGCGACCACTCTGAAAAGGTGACCCCTCTGAAAAGGTGACCCCTCTGAAACGATGACCCCTCTGAAAAGGTGACCCCTCTGAAAAGGTGACCCCTCTGAAAAGGCGAACCCTCTCAAAAGGTGACCCCACTGAAAAGGTGACCCCTCTGAAACGATGACCCCTCTGAAAAGGCGAACCCTCTGAAAAGGTGACCACTCTGAAAAGGTGACCCCTCTGAAAAGGCGACCCCTCTGAAAAGGCGAACCCTCTCAAAAGGTGACCCCACTGAAAAGGTGACCCCTCTGAAACGATGACCCCTCTGAAAAGGCGAACCCTCTGAAAAGGTGACCCCTCTGAAAAGGTGACCCCTCTGAAAAGGTGACCCCTCTGAAACGGTGACCCCTCTGAAATGGTGACCCCTCTCAAAAGGCGAACCCTCTCAAAAGGCGACCACTCTGAAAAGGTGACCCCACTGAAAAATCGACCCCTCTGAAACGGTGACCCCTCTGAACAGTCGACCCCTCTGAAAAGTCGACCCCTTTGGAAAGTCGACCCCTCTGAGAAGTCGACCCTACTGAAAAGGCGACCCCTCTGAAACGTAGACCACTCTGAAAAGGCGACCACCCTGAAAAGTTGACCCCTCTGAAAAGTTCACCCTCTGCAAAATCGACCCCTCTGAAAAGTCGACCACTCTGAAAAGGCGATCCCTCTGAAAAGTCCACCCCTCTGAACCCTTCTGAAAAGTCCACCCCTCTGAAAAGTCGACCCTCTGAAAAGTCCACCCCTCTGAAAAGTTCACTCTCTGAAAAGTCGACCACCCTGAAAAGGCGACCCCTCTGAAGAGTCAACCCCTCTGAAAAGTCGACCCCTCTGAAAAGTCGACCCCTCTGAAAAGGCGACCACTCTGAAAAGGTGGCCAGCTGTCCCAGAGGACCCTTACAACAAGGACCCTGGGATGATATTCCAAGTCAAATGACCCGGAAAGAACCACCCCTACAAGTAGGCCCTACCCGGACCATATTTGTAAGGTCCTTTGAGCGGTCGGCTTAGACAGGTTGCACTGTATTAGCGAGGAGCATGGCGCTCGGTATTTGCCTGGGACGTTTCTTGACCATTCCTGTGAGGGATGCTCGTGGTGCTAGTAAACGTCAGATTTTCCCGTGAGGACTCCTCCTCTGCCACTAATGGGGCAGGGAAAATCAGAAGCGATGTTTCCAAGGCACTGTGGCCTGCTTTTGTGATGATATTTTTTACCATCCAGAGTCTCTCGCCTCTACTGCTCTAGCTCTCGGGTCAGGCTGTGGTGAATGCTGGCATGGGTTGGGCGAGGGTCCCGTATGCGTAGATCTACGTCAATAGCATAGAGTATTATGGAAGTTTGTCTGGCAGACATCCACTGCACGAGTATGCCTGTTGTTACCAACTGGGTAGAGTATTTTTGTATTGTATCATCATTAATTTGTATGGCATTTCGGATATTCAGAGTATGACTGTGTATGACCAAGAGCACATAACCCAGTTATGTACTCTTGGTTATGTACTCTTGGTATGACATGTTCTGCACCTGAAAATAATGGCATGCGTGTATCTACTAGTACTACAATGACTGCACTCAGACTGCATGCACTGATGTAGCGTGCCAGCACCGCATGTCACCTGATCACCTCACATCACATGACACGGACCGTCGGTGCATGGCATGGCATGATTTTCCAGGCAAGCTGATTATGTCAGACTTGCCATCATGACACCTATGTTGTAGTTGAGTGACTTGAGCCATGCGGTGGACTGATCAGTATAGGGACTACACTGACATATTGAGCAGGAGTGACACATCATTTTTAAAATACTAATAGTACACTGTTTTGTTGAACAATGCATTTTACTAATTTTTATTGTTGTTCATACACCACCATAACTATACCACTTTCCAGTAGTCCTTAGCCTAGGCCTTGTGTATGCATGTCGGTAGTGGATGTACCTGGCATGTGTGCTTTTATCACATGTCTCAGAATGTCTGTCCTACATTACAATCATGTTCCTTTCCAGTAGACACTGACACTTGACAGTATTACTATAGCCTATAGGCCCCGTAGTGATGTGTATGTGGTCTGTAGCTGGTTGCACACTGTACAATTGTACTTTTTTTAGATCTGGCACTTGAAGTGAGACAGTGCATTAATTTTACTGCAATCTAGAATGTGTCCGGTAGTTTACCAAAACTAAAACAATACCGTGATGTAGTTATAGTAACGGTAATAGGGCGCTCATCCAGCACACCCATCCCCAACTTCCTACAAGTCTGACATGATGATAAAGGACCAGGTTACCAGTGGTTACTTCGACTCGCCTGCTGCTGCCGGATACACGTAGCTACATGTAGTAGCTGGAAATGAACTGGAAATAAGCCCACACCCGTAACTCCTGTAACACGTCTACAGTAATAATTATGAACTCTAAAGACAGTAAGTAAACTAAAGTAAATAATTCATCTGGGCAACAACAATATTGGTGATCATCAGCAATAGCATGGTTGACTCTCCGTAGTCCGACTACTAGTCGGGTCAGTGGATCTACTACTGATGTCTTTGTACGGCGGGCAGACTACCATGGACTACCATTGACTACAAATACAATGACTACGGGCCACTGCTATGCTATGCGTCATTGCAGCTGTAGCAGCTGTTGACGTGTTGTGAGTGCGCAACGACTCGCAAGTCTCGTGTCAGTAGTTGTGACTGAAGCCTTGAACTGGAAACTCCACACATCACGCGTTCTTATGTCAGCTCAGCTCAGTTCGATGAGAAGCCGGATTTGACTAAGGATAGTAGTAGTAGATAAGATCTACACGAATATTCTATGGCAGTGTGCCAGGGTCCAGGGCCGGCCAGAGCGCTAGCGTGCATGCCGGCCCTTGCCGGGCAAGTCAGTGTCGAGGAAAAAACATGAATGTAAACCAGACACGAAAATACAGTGATCGTCGGTAACGTTCAAGTCAAGTTTGGCGGCCCAAACTAATTACTTGCAGTTTCCTTGTTTGTACCTCGGTGAACTAAAATCTAAGCATTGACTTATAATATTATGTGGAGTTGTGGCTGCAAAGACAAAGTGAACCGGGTGAACGGCGGAAACTCGAATGCATAATTCCTCTGTGGCGCCTGTGTGGATCGATCGATTCGCCTTCTGCTTGATAAACTGATAGCTGTAGATCTACGAACCGACGATCGCCGAGAAAGAGTAGGATAGTACTGGGGATAATCCTGTGCATGTCGCTAAACTAACTTCTATTCCAAGTAATTCGTCCCGACGAAAAGAAGCGCACCTGACTCCTGGTGTTCGCTAGCTGGCACATGATGGCTGATCCCGAGAGAGCTCCGCTTCTGTCCGCGGAAGATGGTGAGTTTGAGATTCCTCGACTAACCATTGCCAGTTGCTGTCCGAAGTGCGTAATTTCGGGCTGACGCGTGAGCGTGTGATGCTGTAGGTGGTTATTTTCGACTCGAAAAGTAGAGTCTTGGAGTACCAATCGAGGTGTGCTGCGCTTCTCAGTTGCTACTGTATGTGAGGGTTTCGTCCGGAATGCTTCACACTGGTTTTTTTCATTGACGGAGATTCGTGACATGTGGTCGGAGGGTATTGCGCAGGAGAGGGGGGGGGGGGGGGGGAGGGGGAGGTATTATGCTCGAAAATGTTGACATATTCTCAGCTTGAAAGCATTAGAATAGGCAAAACTACAGAATTAATTTGTCTGGCGAACGATTCCATGAATTCTCGCTTTCGACTCCTCTTTTCTATCCGCACCCGTATACCCTTGCACTTGCCGAGACCGGCACATGAATGTTCCAGAACAGAGTACCAAACAAAGTGAAACCTGCCCAAGACGAGTGTCAAGGGACCTTCAAAACGTGGTCTCTGTTACCAGGTGGTCTCCTTAGCCAGGATCATTTGACTGGAAATAGCATCCATTGATCCTGACTTCAGTGGTCTTCTCGGACAGGTGATCGCCTTATCCGAGGGGTCGCCTTGACAGGTTTTATTGTACTGCTGGTGTTTCGGCGCGCATTGCGTATGCGGTGTTTGCGTATGCCACTCGACCACGTTATCATGAGCGAGCTGCTGGCATGCACGTCTATCACGTCGCCTGCATGCACCGCTTGGCATTAAGCGGCATCCATTCTATCAGCACAAATCCTACACATTTTCTATGTACTGTAAATATACAAATTTTCGGCAGCTATTTAATTTCGGCTATATTCGGCACCGACCCAAAACGCCTAAATTAAAACGCCGATGAAATTTTTCACAGCATCTGTCGCACTATACCATGCCCTCTACCCCACGCCGAAAGTAAATCGCTGTCGAAATGTCAAAAATCGTGAAGTGCCGAAATTTTGCAGCGCCGAAATTTTGTATATTTACAGTAGGTGGATTCCGTGGCCGGGACTTCCAATTAACCGGACATCCCCAGTTCAAGGTTCACCTGTATACGCTGTATACAACACATGTGCCTAAGACCACATGGTGGCGGACCGGGACCACGCCTGGCTGCTATATCCGTGCCACCGTACAATTTACTGCGTGGCGGACCTGTAGGCGATAGGCGAGCGGCTGCAGTGCCTCGTGCAGCAAGGCGCTGCGGCAAGAGCGGTGGCAAAGCGAGAAAAAGGGCCCATGACCTCTCTCTCTCTCTCTCTCTCTCTCTCTCTCTCTCTCTCTCTCTCTCTTTCTCTCTCTCTCTGTCCCGTGTCATCAACAACAAAGTGTAGTTCTGCTCCAACGTCAAGGGTATATTTGTATGCCAAGAAGATGACAAATGATAATGCAATGCACATGCACCTTCCTCACAAGTTGCTCTTCAAGATGGTGCAAGGGGATAAACCTTGGGGTTGCAATCATAACCCGGCAGAGGTTGCGCGATTACATAATCACTTGAGACGTTCATTACATCATCATCATGGCATTTTAGAAGACACTGGCAGTCTGGCAATGAGGGCCGCATCAACATCCCCCCCCCCCCCCCCCCCCACACACACACTCTCGTTCACACACGCGCTCACACACGCACTCACACACATGCCCACTTACTCACACTTCCCAGGCAAAAGCAGTGAAATCGGATGTTAGTCAAATCCTGCTCACCGTTCTCTTTTCTTGACATCCCGATGTGCTTGTTGCATGCCTTGCACAGGTCCGGCAATTGCCATGCAGGCAGCACCACCGGCCTATTCCGATGTGGTTGAGGACAAAGGCACGGCGGCGGACTCACAGCACCGCCGCCGCGTGGTGTGTGAGGTGTGCCGGACAAGCCTGACCTACAGTGATCGGCCGGGACTGAGAGTGGTCCGCTGCAGCCGCTGCCAAGAGGCCACGGTACGTGTAAAATAAACACGACTGACTGTTGTACGTGTACATGTATGTATATGTTGCAATCATTCTGGCCCGGGCATGAGGCTTATACAGATGATGGTCATGCAATTATTACCGTATTTCCGCGCATATAAAGCCATGGCGTTATATCCGAATATAAGGCCACCCTCACTTATAAAGCCATGGCGTTATAAGTGAGCAAAATTCAATGTGGAGGAAGTTGCATCCGGCGTTAAAGGTGAGTTCAATTCTTTCAGTGAACCTACAGTAGCGGTGATTCTCTCTACATGTACCCATCCCCACTGTCACATGCCATACCGCCACCGCACCTTCACACAAGTTTGTATGCCACCTTGTACACAATAGGTTCACAATTTGAAATTTTCAGGGAAAATTGAAAGTACACGGATGCTCGACATGAACGTGCAACGGCACCATACGAGTACTCGAAGTTCATACTCCGCCGATTTTTTCATGTAAGCGTCTCTCACTTTTAGCGCCATGGCGTTAAAACCGAGGCTATTTTCTCCAAACATTTGGTCCAAAACAGCGATGTTTCACCTATAACGCCATGGCTTTATATGCGCGGAAATACGGTATTATTATTATTAACTTTTATTTTACTAGGGTGTTTCCCACAGACCTATGGTCTTCTTTCGGGAGCCCCTAGGAATGATGTAGCGGTACATGTACATGACATATACATGACATTGGTAATCATTCCGACCCTGGTATGTGGCTAAAATACAGATGAATGAGACGGTGGTCACGGATCCAACCTGAATATGTTGGATGTCATGCCATAGGTTTGTCCCAACACCCGGAAGATAGAGACTCTGAGTTGTCAGAGCCGTGTACACTGGGCAGGGATGTATACAGTATAGTGAGGCAACAGCAACTGAATCAGATGCTTAAGTATCTAGTCGAGATATCGCTGTAGGACACTTTATGATTCTCCCTCTTCTCGGGAGATGCATGCGACCCGGTTCTGGCAGCAAGAATGTGCAGTACCACCAATGTGTGTGTGTATGCGTGTGTGTGTGTGTGTTCACGTGCGTGTGTGTGCACAGCCTGTCGGTCCGCCGCCACCCGGGAAGCGGTACGTTCGCTGTGCGTGTCATTGCCTGCTGACGTGTCTGGCAACCTCCAAACTCGTCGCCTGTCCACGCCAGAACTGGTAAGCACGGGTGCATGTGCAGTGCGAGTCTGGCTGCAAGGCGCTGCTGCACCTGACTGCATGCTTGGGATGCGCAGTCAAGTCTGGGTGCAAAGCATTGCTGTGACCTGCCCACTTGCTTTGGATCCTTCACTGCATTGAAAGAATGAAGGCATACAGTCAGATCTCTTTGGGACAGACGTCAAGACTTTTGTTCGCCATACCTGGATGACCTTCTTCTTACCCCTACTTTATGTGCAATGGGTATTCAGTTGATTTGGCAGCGTGGTGGATGTCACCACCATGTCTGTCCAGGTGGAATCTGATTACCCAGGGACGTAGGAGCCGGTCCGGCTTTGGCTGGACCACTTTTTCGCCCGCCCACGACCAAAATGCAGGATTTTGCACCCTATAAATTGCAAAAATTTCCAGGGGGATACCCCTGACCCCCTCCCCTCCACCGGACCGTTTCCAACGGCTGTGCTACGCGCCTGTTACCTGCGAAGTGTCGGATAGTGGTGCTCAAATTCATGGTGCAGCCAGGTGTGCAGCCAAGTAAGGGGTGCTGCAAGGTTGGAACCAAGGTTTCCGAAGTTGTGTAATGACAGCCCTAACAACGGTGG